TACACTCACATGTGATTATAGCAGCCATGCAAATGCTGAATGAATGAAAGAAGATTCAATCTTCAGGGCACGCAAGAACTGTACAAAGTTGCTGCTGCGTCCCAGTTCTGTCGCATGGTTTCCATGGCAATAAATAATGCAGCCCCACTGTTCTCTTTGGTTGGGGCGCCATGTCCCTGAAAAAAAAAACAGGTCAACTCAACCACACGCCTGCACCCCTCCCGAAGTTCTTAGAGGATTTGCGAAAATCACTGCGCAACTTACCCAACTGATCTACACTAATTGTAACCAAATTGCTCAGGAATAGTTCACCTAAAAATTTAAATTCTGTTCATCAATCATTTATTCAACCTCATGTCACATTCCAACCTTCTTATGTTGTTTGCTTGTCTGTTTTTGTAAAACTCTTTGTGCAGCTTTTTGCATGCAAAGAGTTCATGACAGAATGATGACACCATTTAAATTTTTTCAGGGTAAACCGTTTCTTTAAAGGGGTCATATGACGTTGTCATTATTTTGTGTATTTGGTGTAATGAAATGTGTTTATGTGGTTTAAGATTCAAAAACCACATTATTTTCCACATACTGTACATTATTGTATCTCCTCTATGTGCGTCGATTTTTACAAAGCTCATCGTTCTGAAAAGCGAGGTGTGCTCTGATTGGCCAGCTATCCAGTGCGTTGTGATTGGCCGAATTCCTCAAGCGTGTGACGGAAATGTTACGTCCCTTACCATATTATGATGCCCTGTCCGGCCGGAGGGTAACATAAAACCATGTCTGCGTTTGTGATCGGAGAAATGACAAACAACAAGTGCTACTCAACACTGCCCAAAAAACTCGCGTTTGGATCGTCAGTGGCAAATTCTTTAAATATAAAAAACGTACTTACAGTCTGTGAGTCAGAACAGCCGGCATTGTAGTCTACTCTTCCAGGATCAGGAAACAGTCCTCCATAAAATGCGCTCCACTCATCTGAATATTTGGGTTAAACTGTTCTGGAACAGTGTTGTAAATACAACTTAACCACTGATTTCTAGTCGTGTCCTTCTCATACGCCTTCTTTCTTTGTGTGAAGATGTGGGAAGAGTTGCATAACGCTGCCCAAATAGTGACGTAGACATGTGGGGGCGTGTTAGAACGAGTCGTTTTAGGTAGTAGTGGTTGACTCTTAACTTTTATAAAGAATATCTCTTTGGATTTGAGACTTTAGTCTTTGCAACTTTACAGATCTTCTTTATGCACCAAGAGCTTGTAACACTCCAAAGAGAAAGGAAAAATTGAAATCGCATAATATGACCCCTTTAACCTTTCATCTTGACCAAGGGTGGTTAATGTCCTCCAGTGTCAGGTTTCTCTGGCCTTCTTCTGGTGAGTTGGTAAATCAGAAGAAGGTCAGTGGGTTTGGTGGCTTGGAGCCCTGATGGGAACAGCTGAGTGGAAAGGGAACAAGAGAACTGAGGAGTTGCGTGACCCGCGAAAGGCTCTTTTCATGGCGGAGTGCCGTCCACCTGTTGAAGGGCTTATGAGGAAAGCATGAGTGCGTATCTGCATGGTTTGGGGTGGGATGGAAAGAGAAAACCTTACAGAGGGAAAAAGACCATCCTGTTTTACTATAGTTGGTGCAACCCAGGGATGATATATATATATTTGTGACCCAGGACCACAAAACCAGTCATAAGGGTAAATTTCTAAAATTGAAATGTATACATTATCTGAAAGCTGAATAAATAATCATTCCAGTGATGTATGGTTTGTTAGGATAGGACAATATTTGGCCGAGATACAACTATTTGAAAATCTGGAATCTGAGGGTGCAAAAAAATCTAAATACTGAGAAAATCACCTTTAAAGTTGTCCAAATGAAGTTCTTAGCAATGCATATTAGTAATCAAAAATTAAGTTGTGATATATTTACAGTAGGAAATTTACAAAATATCTTTATGAAACATGATGTTTACTTAATATCCTAATGATTTTTGGCATAAAATAAAAATCAAAAACAGGATTTTTTTTTTTTTTTAAAAAATGAAATCTAAAAAACCCAGGACCACAAAACCAGTCATAAGGGTAAATTTCTAAAATTGAAATGTATACATTATCTGAAAGCTGAATAAATAATCATTCCAGTGATGTATGGTTTGTTAGGATAGGACAATATTTGGCCGAGATACAACTATTTGAAAATCTGGAATCTGAGGGTGCAAAAAAATCTAAATACTGAGAAAATCACCTTTAAAGTTGTCCAAATGAAGTTCTTAGCAATGCATATTAGTAATCAAAAATTAAGTTGTGATATATTTACAGTAGGAAATGTACAAAATATCTTTATGAAACATGATGTTTACTTAATATCCTAATGATTTTTGGCATAAAATAAAAATCAAAAACAGGATTTTTTTTTTTTTTATAAAATGTAAGCTGCAAATATGTAAAAAAAAAAAAAAAATCATCATGTACACTACTGGTCCAAATTTTGAGATCGGTAAGATTATTTTCTTTAAAGCAATTGATACTTTTATTAAAGAAAGATGCATTAAAATGATCAAATGTAGCAACAGTAAAGACATTTAAAATGTTACAGAAGTTTTCAGATTTAAATAACTGCTGTTCTTTTAAACTTTCTGTTTATTAAAAATCCTGAAAAAAATGTATCACAGTTTTCGCAAAATTATGAAGCAGCACAACTGTTTTCAACACTGATGATAATAGTAATAAATGCTTCTTGAGCAGAAAATCAGCATAATAGATCGATTTTTTTTTTTGATCACAGGAACATATTCAAATATAAAACAAATATTTTAAATTGTAATAGTATTTCACAATATTGCTGTTTTACTGTATATTTTTCATCAAATATATGCAGTCTTGGTAAGCATAAGAGACTTCTTTCAAAAGTATTTTAAAAATCTAACCGACCTCAAACTTTTGAACAGTTGTATATGATGTCAAACCTATCAGCTGTGTCCAAATTCACAATATATCATTGCCTCTCCTACCTTATAGATTTATAAAATAACTTGGCAGAAAAAATCAAGAAATTGAACAACATTTCAAAGTACAGCAATACACAAAGGTTTTTAGAGATCATTTACTTAGAGGTTTACAGAAACTGTTTCTAAAAAAATTCTAAAATTGAGAGGGGGTGCATCGTGTGCAAAAGCAGGACATTGTAAGTGAAATAAGTGAACAAAAAATTAAATATGGCCCATTACCAATGTACAATATTAAGATGTGCATTTATGTAGCATTGCATTTGTGTCAAAATGAAAGAGACTAAATGAAAGAGACTTTGTGTGGCATAGTTGTGCTCTCAGTCTGAGAGTTGGTGATCGTGTTAAACACTCTGAGGAAGCGAGAGGACTTCGCATTTAGGGAACAGGGACAGGATCAGACAACAGAGGTGTACCTTCTCATCTATTCTGTCCTACATAGAACATTATTTTTTACTCCATCAAATGGGACTTTTTGAGCCCCACTTTACCATCTCTGGACCACTTATATAACAGACTGAAAATTCCTGAATGTGCTTAAAACAGCATTTTAGCTATAATTGGATACCATACAGATACTTTAGCCTTGTTTTACATATACATTGTTTTACTTGTCATACATTATTTGGTCAGTTTTGTGCAAAACAAATTAGTTGTACAGTCAAAAATCAACCAGCATGGTTTAAAGAGTGAATTAAAATGTTTCTTGAGCAGCAAATCAGCATATTAGAATGATTTCTGAAGGATCCTGTGACACTGAAGATTGGAGCAATGATGCTGAAAATTCAGCTTTGCTCACAGGAATAAATTACATTTTATAATATATAACAATAGAAAACAGCTATTTCAGATGTTAATAATATTTGAAAATATTACTGTTTTTACTGTATTTTTGCAGCCTTGGTGAGCACAAGAAAAAAAACGTAACTGTTGAATTGTAGTTAACATAGTGAAGTTTAATACTTGATATGAGCAATAGTCTTAAGTACTAGGCTTGCCGCGATAGACGGTGTTGACGGTGATACCGTTGTTAAGCCGCAACACCGGTTACGTCACTTGCCCAGTGATATCCGCGTTGGTTGCCATGGAACCAGGGGCCTGTTCGGCTTCCTGGGGTGTTACGCATTTCGGGGGAAGGGTCCACAGGTCCTCATATGGCTTGTTAAGTGAGGGGTGTTATAGAGTATTTGTTAAATATAGCTAACAAAATATATATTGTGTGTTTGATTGGTCCAGACGCTACATATATTAGTTTCTTATTTAATTGGTTCCACATTGTTTGCTGATTTTTACTTTATTTAAACTTTGTGTCATTTATTTATTTTATTTGACATCAAGGTATATGCCGTGCCTCCAAGCTTTCTTACTCGTTTTGCTAATAAACGTTCTACTTTCTTATTTATTTGGTTATATATTATACATGTTTTACTTATTTCCAGTTTTGTATACCTATTTAAACTTTATGTAAGTTATTTGTTATTTTATATTAGGCATAGCGTGCCCTATAGCATGGTGTATTTGTATTTGTTTTGTTAAAAGTTCTGTTTTATAAATACAACGTCAAACTCACTTTAGGGTATTTTGTTGTTGAATTCAAGCAATTGATGCCAAATTGACGCTAATTCGAAGGGAACGCCCCCGAGGTGAGACTGGTATTACCGGTGTTGTCACACGTCGATTAACCGGTGGGAAAATTTCCTCACCGTCACAACCCTATTAAGTACTACTGATTAGGCAGAAGCCGTTTTATTAAGGCATCTGGAGTGATGAGTCGGTTTATTGTTTCATGTGGCAGGGCTGAGTCACCATCTCTGTGCAGCTGTGTATCAGGACATGTGTCTCCTACATTGGATTCTCATCATGAACCACTAAAAACAGCAAAACCACAATTGAGTACACAGCTCTGACTGCTTTTTATAGGCCACAGGGAGCTGAGAGAGTGGTCTTTTTGGGATGTATTCACCGTTGGCTAGAATCTGGAGTAATTATGTTATGTGTTTATTCCAGAGTGAAGAACACTCCACTGCCCGTCAAAGTGTGCTCTACAGGACTCCAGGTACACATGAGCGGAAAACCTAAGAGTATCATCGTCGAGACCAAACCCGGCCAGACCGTCGCAGACTTCAAGAAGAGTCGAACAGGATTCACCTTACTGCTGCCCCATCAGTAAAGCCAAGACTTAGGACATAAAACAGTATTTAGCCATTCAGTCATGACGGCACCGTAACTTCCAGAGATTTCAAACAGGATTGGATATGTTTGTACATAAGCGGAACACACTTTTTTATTTTCTCAATCTGAAGCAATGCACTTTTTTTTATTAAATAGAGTGCGGGCGGCTGTGATGATGTATTTTTGTAGGCCAAACCAGAAGTTTGTATCACCCAGGTTTCCTCGATTTTTCCACTGGCTTTTGGATTATTGCAGAAAATAAGCTTTGCGACCGACAGAAGTTTATGATTCTTACACACAAGTTAACACCACTTTTATCAATTTTGAGACCTTAATACGACTGCCAGAAATGAAAAATGTAATGTAGGCTATAAATGAACTACACCACGGTCACATGACATCGGTCTTTATTTTAAAACATTTTCTCTGAAAGTTTGAGTTAGACTAGTTTGTAAGAGTGTGATTATAAACACAATGAGGCTGTAGACAGCCTCTGTAGTCCCATTAGGCCTTTCAAGCTAATTCACATGTGGTTGGAAATCCTATTCAAATTGCATTTCTGGAAATCCATTTCAGTCTGACCGCTCGGATCAGATTTAGCGTAGCTTTTTTGCCTGTGTCACGTAAAACGTAAACACGCCAGACGTTGTTTGTGGAAAACATGCTGAAAGTTTTTGCACAAGCAAGGTTGTGTTGTTGCAAAGGGCAAGTCAAGCTGAAAATGGCAATACAGAGCTATTCTACTCACATCTTTTAGTTTTGAGACCGGCGGCACAGTGCATTCCAGCTTCCTACGTTTCTGTCGCTGCCTCATAGGACGGAATATAATCCAGCGCGACTGCAACATGTCGTAAGACAACATCTGTATAGCAAACTGTATTGCTGTTATTGTTGTTTTATTGTTTTTATTGTAGAATAATACAATGTCGTTACCATAGAAACCAAAGCAGATATTTAGTAAAATGAAAGAGTGCCACAGGACACACAAATCGGATCTGAACAGTTGCGATACACACAGTGTGGACTGTCAATCATTTAAATCAGAGATACACCAAAATCGGATTTGGACTGACAGTCTGAACAAGGTTTTATACACTTGTTAACAACTGTCTTTTTCAAGACACATAAAAGCTTTAGAATAAAACATGAAAATATCTTGAGCTTATGTTCCCCACAGACCAAATTTCAGGCATTTAACCAAAAACCCATTCAAAACACCTGCTGACTTCAGGACGATGGAATCAGAAGAGCTCAAATACAAGTAATTTACAGGTTTTGGTCTATAAAGAATGTCATCTCGGCAGCACTCCCTGTGTTAGTTCTGTGTTAAACAGAAGGAACGTCTAAACCAGTTAGTGCTAGCGTGTTGTGTGCTTGAAAAGAAGATATGCAGCATAAATGATCCACTGTTATTCTGCCGTCCCTCCTCTATTTTAAATTTTGCACATGAAATTGTGCGTTGTGTCATGTCTTTTGAATTGTGGGGGGGTCATGTAATAATGCTATTTTATTATTTATCAACATTTCAGAAGGAATGTTATATCGATATGGCCTTTGCACTTTTCATATGTAGATTCTATTTTTATGTTCTTTATGATTGTATTTTTTTCTCAGGGTGTACATTTGAACTGTGGAGATGTAACCAAGAGTATTTTCATGTGTTAGTGCTGTCATTGGGGCGGTGCCTTTCAAAAGGTACTAATACAATATACTTCTAAAGTGCTAATATGTATCTTTACATATGTATTAATATGCTAATATGTACCTTTTAGCTTTTGTACCTTTTTTGTACCACCCAAGTGACAACTTTTGTACCTTTTTTTTCTGAGAGTGCAGGAGTATTCAACCAAGATTTACAACCCCTCACGTTAAACCTAACAATATAGTTACTGCTTTGTAGTAGTAATATATAAACGATGTGATTTTAATGCTTATTAATATCTGTCAAATGTTGTATTTAAAAACAGCAACTAAACTGTAATCAAGTCATATGATATTGTTTTATTAAATGCCACATGCAGTAATTGTGTGTTTGTTGTATATGTTGAGGACACAATTGTATATAATGACTTTGGTATTACAATGGCCTCATAAACCTAAACATACTTTTTGAAATGCCAAAAGGTTCCTGTGAGGATTATGTTTAAGGTTAGGGGATATAAAATATGATTAGGAGAGTATAAAATCCATTATGCCTATGAAGAGACCCTGTTAAATTAAACCATGTGTGTGTGTGTGTGTGTGTGTGTGTGTGTGTGTGTGTGTGTGTGTCTGAAGATTCTCAATAGTGACAGGTTGCCTTACTGTCGCTCTGTTTTTTATTTCCTGCTTCCACTCCCCTGCTGCGAGCATTTTTCATCTATTCTGACACCCCTGTTTTCTTTTCTTTCTTTCTTTTTCTTTGTGATTTGACTATTTTTTGACGCTTCTTTGCACGCACCTGTCTGTCTGCTGACGTTGGACTCTGTTTCTGTCTCAATGTGTCATGAGCATCATTGGTTATTGAATATCTATTTTTTTCCACACCTTTTACTCAAGTTGTCAGTTTACTTTTGGGTATTTGACATGAAACATCAAGCAATGACATTCTGTTCTACATCAAAAATGATTTCAGATGGGAGAGTTCTAGTTCTTGTATAATTAGTATACATGCAATTATGACTTCATTTTAGTTTAGAGATTGTCTGGAATAATTGTACTTTAAACAATGATGAAATTAAATAAAGCTTTTTAAGTGAGTTGCAAGAACCGCTTATTTAAAATTGTGAAAAACAGCAATGGTGATGGTTATTATAACACATATATAGAGTGTTCACTCTTAAAAATGAAGATTCTCTGTTGGCATTGATGGCAACCTTTAACATCAATGGAATCTTTCAATTGCACAAAATGTTCTTTATAGAGGAAAGACATTTTTAAAATGTACCCAAAAAAAAGGTTATTTTATAAACTGTTCATTGAAAGATTTATTTTTAGATGTAGATGCATTTTAAACTGTGAAGTCCATGAACATTTTATCTACAGTATTTTGTCCATGACTTTTTCTGTACTGGTTTCTAATGTGTTTTCAGTGAGACCATCTGCTCTTATATGCACTCCAAACATATTCCTATTGGAAACAAAAGCCTGATGTCAAAGAGGAACTTTTTTAAGGTTTTTAAACTAGTGCTTTAAAGAACCCAATAATGCAAATATTCATGTAAAGAACCGATGTAAAGTATATGGTTCTTGGTTCTCCATAAAAAATATAAAATAAAAAATATAGCCAAATCAAGAACCATTTACGGCAAGAATAGTCCTTTGCTGAAACTTAGGAGCTCAAAAGAACCACTGAAGATCATTTGAGTGTAGAAAATGTACCCAAAAACAATGTCCATCAGGAAATATCAAAGTCTGAAAATAAAGCGAAGGGTCTTGGAAGCTTTTTAGGTCAGTAAGCTCTGCACCAAAGCCATTCTGTGACCAAGTTTGTTTTATTCAATCTCATTAGTCATGTTTCTAGAGCAAACTGAGTCACAGGAAAAAATAACTATTCCCCCGGCAACAACACCCGCCTTCAACCCCACCACATGGCAGCAAACTGAGTTTCTCTGATAGCTAATGTAATTATGAATCAGGTTTGAAGCTGACTGCGTCACCTGCTTCATCTGGCATGTTAGGTCTTGTTTTTGAAGGTTGCCGTCTTGACCTAGTGCATGTATCCTGTTCACAAATGTCAACGCAAACAACATAATTTCATGGAAAAATTCTCAGTCCTTTGTACACAGAGCTCATTTCTTCCTGTCCATTCAAAAAAAAAAATATATATATATATATATTTTTCAAAGTTGTAAATAAAACAGATTATTGGAGTCCGTTTTTACTAGAAAATACTATTTCAATCTTTCTACTAAATTTCACATTTAATTCAATATGTTACTTGCTGTTTCTTTGTAATTGTGAAATTTAACTATTTGTTTTCTATTTTGTCTCTCAGGCAGGATTTCTAATCTTCATGGTAGGATTATATATAGGAAAGATTGACAGGACGAGTGGTTCCCTCATAAGCCTGCATAAAACAGTCTAAAAATATCTAAGACAGCATACACCATGACCTGAAGGATACACTGTTCATTCAAAGAAAGGTTTTCCTATGAATTAATTAGTAGAAAAGTCTATTTCTGCTGTGCATTGTGCCTCTTGCTATGGAAAATGCAGTGAGAGTCTCTCTGCACATATTCCTCTGGGCAATAAACCCAGTGATATCCGCGTTGGTTGCCATGGAACCAGGGGCCTGTTCGGCTTCCTGGGGTGTTACGCATTTCGGGGGAAGGGTCCACAGGTCCTCATATGGCTTGTTAAGTGAGGGGTGTTATAGAGTATTTGTTAAATATAGCTAACAAAATATATATTGTGTGTTTGATTGGTCCAGACGCTACATATATTAGTTTCTTATTTAATTGGTTCCACATTGTTTGCTGATTTTTACTTTATTTAAACTTTGTGTCATTTATTTATTTTATTTGACATCAAGGTATATGCCGTGCCTCCAAGCTTTCTTACTCGTTTTGCTAATAAACGTTCTACTTTCTTATTTATTTGGTTATATATTATACATGTTTTACTTATTTCCAGTTTTGTATACCTATTTAAACTTTATGTAAGTTATTTGTTATTTTATATTAGGCATAGCGTGCCCTATAGCATGGTGTATTTGTATTTGTTTTGTTAAAAGTTCTGTTTTATAAATACAACGTCAAACTCACTTTAGGGTATTTTGTTGTTGAATTCAAGCAATTGATGCCAAATTGACGCTAATTCGAAGGGAACGCCCCCGAGGTGAGACTGGTATTACCGGTGTTGTCACACGTCGATTAACCGGTGGGAAAATTTCCTCACCGTCACAACCCTATTAAGTACTACTGATTAGGCAGAAGCCGTTTTATTAAGGCATCTGGAGTGATGAGTCGGTTTATTGTTTCATGTGGCAGGGCTGAGTCACCATCTCTGTGCAGCTGTGTATCAGGACATGTGTCTCCTACATTGGATTCTCATCATGAACCACTAAAAACAGCAAAACCACAATTGAGTACACAGCTCTGACTGCTTTTTATAGGCCACAGGGAGCTGAGAGAGTGGTCTTTTTGGGATGTATTCACCGTTGGCTAGAATCTGGAGTAATTATGTTATGTGTTTATTCCAGAGTGAAGAACACTCCACTGCCCGTCAAAGTGTGCTCTACAGGACTCCAGGTACACATGAGCGGAAAACCTAAGAGTATCATCGTCGAGACCAAACCCGGCCAGACCGTCGCAGACTTCAAGAAGAGTCGAACAGGATTCACCTTACTGCTGCCCCATCAGTAAAGCCAAGACTTAGGACATAAAACAGTATTTAGCCA